GCATAAAAGGGCTTGGACCCCGGTCATAACTGCTTTGCAGTTCTAGTTATATAATTATATTTGTCTATCTGCTGTTTTATGATTGTTGAATGAAATTAACATAATTATCAATTATTAATTTCTAGTAAAAATATTGCAGATAATTTGTGACAGATCCAGTTGCTGTAATAGTTGCTATGATGCCCTGTTTGTTCGGTCACCATTTTTGCTCTTCCATGTTGTCACAGATGCTAACAGTGGATGGGATATGCAGGGCTCGCTCTAGTGTTATTTAAGTCTATGGTGTTCACTTCAAACATCATCTTCTTGTGGCTGTTTTTCCTGATATCACCACCTCCTCCCTCCTGACAGCCAGGACAGGAGGTCTTTTATATCTCCACCTGCAGCACGTCAAAGATGCTGCAGTTAACTTCACTGTTTTTACGTGTTTATTGTGTTTTTCATTAGAAATCTGGGACAATTACATTTTAATAAATTAAATGGTAACAGTGATTTATTTCTGTTTTATGAGCTCTTTCTATATTTTCCACTGACAGATTCAAAACGAGTTTATCCAACAAGGCTGTCTGAACTTCAGACTGGTGCCGGTCTTGTTTCCTAACGCAACCAAGGTAAGAAGAAAAGATACAATTCTCCTAAAACTGTGTTTGGTTCCTTCAAAATAATAAAAAAAAATTTCACTTAACAAAGAAAACAGGATGACAATACACACAGAAAATACATGAAACAGCTCAGTATTATACCAGGAAAATACTCCTCAGGTATCAGGTATGTACCTGRTAAGTAACAGGTACATAACCCATAGGTATGTATAAGGTAAATACCAGGTATGTACTTAGCACTTGCCTGATCAGTACCAGGTATGTAACTGGTACCCAAGGACACAGAGGTACATACCCGCATTAATTMCAGGTATGTACCCTATAAGTACCAAATATGTGCATGACATTTATCCTTTAAGTGCCAGGTATGTACTCAGGAAGTATCAGGTATTTACCTTGTAGGTTACAAAGTATGAATCTGGTAAGTCACAGGTACATAACAGGTAATGTAGCTGRTACCAATAAGGTTATACAAAATATGAACCCCTTTAGGTACCAGACACATACCTGGTAAGTACAATAAACTAGAGCTGGAAGTGRGGAGTATTTTAAATGTAAATCTCCTTCATAAACGGAGACATAAAAACTGAAATGTGTGAAGATCAGATCTGATTTTTTTAAAACTCTGCTTAAAGTTTTTGAGCAGTGACAGTTTGTTTGAAGCTCAGTTTTTAGTCTGCAACTCTGTCTACCTGTCTTACTGTGAGTGCTGTCCAGGCATGACGGACACCGACGTTCAATCACTGGCAGCAGCTTTAATATTTTGTTTTATCTGGGCTCTTTTTATAAAGTTTATTCATGAGAGCGTCAGCATTCATCWGATGGTTTGTCCTGTCAGAAACACGTGCCCAGCTGGCTCCAGAGCACCAGGATCTACCACTGGCCCAGCGACACCCAGGACCTGCTGCTGCGCCTGCTGAGGGAGGAACGCTACATCATCCCACAGCGAGGCGCTGACCTGACCCTCACTGTTCGCCCTCTGTGACGACAAACAGGAACTCCTCACACAGATTGTCAAACACTAAGATGTCGTTTCTGTTTTTAGTTTCATTAGTTTGGTAGAATTCTGATTTACTTCAGTATTTTATGATCCTGTTCTTCATTAGCCTGGCCCTTGTCTTCCTACACTGTTCCACTCAATTCTAGTTTCCCAAAGCGAAGAACAAGGGTCTGGTTTTTACCGGATAGACAGATAGATGGATGGATGGATGGTTGGTTGGTTGGTTGGTTGGTTGGTTGGTTGGTTGGTTGGTTGGTT